AGCACTCTCGAAATCCGGCTAACATAAATATTTACAGTTCGATATAAGGCTATAACTATATATAACTATCTAATTAAGCTACGATGAGTTTATGGCTTACACATTTAATATACAAGATGAATCACCATGCATGCTTAGCTTAATTTTTCCTTTAATATATAACGAATTTGTTCAAATTCTGATTTTTTTAATTTGAATGTATATAATAATATCTTCAAATACTTAGAATTTTTCATACTATCTACTTAAACAGTGTCCTGTGGTGATATAAACTTCTTTTTTTAAAACTAAAACCCAATTTTTTACTGTAAATTATTAAGTGGATGTTTTGAACAAATACAAATTTGAACGAGTAATTTTATTGTTGAGTTATTTAACTTTGTGTGTTAAGAATAATTATAGGTCCGTGATCATGGGTTCATATGTGATCATATGGGACCATAGTGGATCATATAAGGATTATATTATAGTTATTTAAACATTTTTGGTAATTTAGATTTTGTTTAATCAATCAATGTATAAACATTGATTGATGAAACAAAAACAGCCCAATAAGGTAGGTAGTCGAAATACTAGATACGATATTATAAATATTTTAAAAACCATTTTTAGGTCTATTATCCTTTCAATACATACTTTAATAACTGAAATACTGTCATTAGAATTAGATACATCAAAATTTGCAAGAAAATTATCCACTAAATAAATTATATAAATATATGATAGTTTAAAGCATTTGAGAAACAGAAGTTTATATCACCGTAAGACACTCCTTAAGTACTACAAAAAATCTCAAGAATTAAAAATATGGTCTTTAAATATCAGAATTTGAATAAATTCTATGTTAAATGAAAATGGGGATGAGCATACTTGGTGAATCGCCCAATATATTATTTAAACTAATTTGAAAAATAAAGAAAAATATTATATTGAATAATTTTATGTATGAGTGATTTTTATAACACAATTAATATTTTATTTGATATTAAATTGGCTACATTTGTACTAATTACCAGATAACAAACTGCAGTCTCGGTCTGATTGGATAATATTATTTCGAACCAAATCACATGATAGATAGCTCTTTATTTTTTGACGATAATAATTTAATATTGATTATGTATATATATTCTTTAACCATGTGAAACAAGACAAGTAACATATTGCCACTCCGTTACCTATTGAATTTCTTCACACACTGACTGCAAATATTATTTTTAATTAAAATAATAATACTAATGCTTGTGAAGTGATATAATGTATCGTTTAATCAAAACATCAAATCAACTCGAATCATTATTATGATTATATACGAGTAATTTCGCATTAAATTAGAAAACACAAGTTATTGGAAGACTGAAATTAGGTTTTCCAAGAATTTATATTACGCTTCAAAGTAAAAAAATCCAATTCGATTATAAGTTATAATTATAAACCATATAATATTATGCTATATTATTATATTTTATTAAATTAACACAGAAAACAGAATCCATACAGCAAAACACCAAATAATATATTTTTCATGATATAGCTGTAAAATAATATTACAATTTATAACTAATTTTAATGTTATAGTAAACTTTTATAATTTTTGAGGATTCAATAAAATAAATAATAAATAAATAAATATTTCTTATTTCATAACAGCCGTATAGTGTATAAAATATAATTTATAAAATGTCGACGCATTTAAACATTATGTAACAAAAATTATTGATCATTTCTTATTTTCTTTTAATACCGATTTGTATACTTAATATAATATTATGTATTTATGTATTTATGCAGTGTATTATAATCGTGTTATTATTTATAATTATAATAATAGAGTGATAAAGTTGTAACGTTAGATAAAGTATCCTTTACAAATAATTTCATCGCAAGTATCACATGCATACAATAAATAAATACGATTTTTACGAAAAATATTGCTGGCGCAAGCTGAACATTTCATTAAATTATTGGGTGTAATTAAAACAAAACGCAATTAAATCGCTAATCATTAAATTAAAGACGAGCACTTTGCGCCCGCTGCCTTTTGTGTCGAGGATCAACTCGAACCATTGATAATAATATAATATCATCGTTCCGGGTAGCGATGTTACTTTTTCTCTTAGAGAGAAAAAAATCCTTTTAATCGCTCCGTTTCGTTGTCCAGAATTGTATATGTCGGAGACTTTTCATAAATCGATAATTTTCTAAAAAATAAATTATTTAAATACCCCCCGCCGACAGTGATTTGCATAATTTGTTGGAAAAAATAAGCTACGGTGTACAAAATAATATATTAGTTGAAATAAGTCACGTTCCATAGAGTTTTCTGAAAAATATAATATTTTTCATAACGTTGTTGTGTTTTTTTAAAATTGTTCTCAGCGTCTTCTACCATTAAACCATCACATATCCTTACCATGCAGGTAGTCTATACACTGTGCTGTAGTTTATTCGAACTACCCATTGAGGTTTGTCTACGAAAAATTCCAAATCGTCTAAATCGATTTATGAACTTGAAACTTAAACTGGGTATATAATTTGAATTCGATTAAGCCAGGGTAGGCATAGGCAATAAGTGAACTTGCAGGTTGACAAAATGTAGGTAGGGTTCCTACATCATTAGTATGGTATGAGTTGAAATTAAACTAACGCTTAATGTTATTTAATTGATATATCCTTAAAAAAAAAAAATGAAAAAGATGTCCGTCAATAATATACAGACAACCTGACGTCAGTAAAAATCAGAATAGGTAGAGTCTTATTTCACCGGGGTAGTAGAAATATTTATAAATTTCTTTGGTTTGTTGAATGATATGTAATATACACTGGTTAAAATTTATTGAAAATGAAAAATAAAATGAAGACTTATATATTATTATATATATGTGTAATTGAAAAATACTGAGATCCCACTGGGACACTTATCAACGTTTCTATTCTGTCGGCGCGTTGTGACCTATACTGGGATCTATATACGTGGTATTGTAAGATTTTCTTTCAAAACTTTTCATACCTGAAATCCGCAAAGTTATACATGTTTTTTTAATTTAATATTACTGCTCAAGGAGAATTGTTAAGCGTATTCTAACGTTGCCATAGATTCGTCGTTCACCACACGACATCTCACCAACTAACCTAGATTCAAGTACCTATTTTATATCTCAATCGTTTTACCCGAGAATCTTGTAAACCGGCGGATATCATCACCTCTGTAGTATGTATTAAGTATATTTACTGCAACACTATTAGAATTAAATTCGTCACCGGTTTATTGCACATAAGTCACGCACTTTATAGTATCTAAATCTAATGAGCTTGAAGTTTTTACCGCAGAATAGTCTAACTGATTTCCAAATCCAAAATGCGTCAATGTTAATCATTTTGATTGTAACCTCGAGGTTGCCGAGTTTGAAAATTCTGGTCCCCAACGATCGTGTACTTGATATTTGAACCTAAGCGTTTTGCACATTGTTGTAATAATACACGTAGGCGTCATTTTTTACGACGCCAGTGATTTAAAACGTGGACTAAGTTTAGTCGCATGCAACACTTTAATCCAACATGCAATAGCATACTTAATTATCTTTATTTTTTTTTCATAAAATGTTACCCTTTTGTATTCATTATATTGCATACGCGCGAGAGCGCATGTGTGTGTGTGTGTGTGTGTGTGTGTGTGTGTGTGCGCGAGAGTATGCGAGTATGTAAAAAATGTATTCCCTAGCACTGTACAATGTTGGACAAAAACAAATACTGCTGTAGTGTATAATTATAATTTTTGAATTTTTATTCACTGCTCGTACTTTTGTTAATTTATGTACATTTACTATATCATAATATGAAATATATGAATTTAATTGCTACGTGTGATAGTTCTTACAACTTCACAATAATATTGGTATCGTGGTTAAAATGTAAGTAAATTTAACTGGATTAAATATTGTATTATGGAGAATAATCGTTTAGTTGTATACGAACAAATGTGGTAACAGGTCTTCTAAATCGTCTGTGACAAAAATGGTGGGGATAATTTTAGTTCTTAACATAATCCCCATCATTATTATCACTTTAATTTTGGAAACCATGGTTTTTACATGCATGTATAACCACTATTATTAAACCGTAATGTGTATGTTACATAAAAAGGTACTCGTTAAAGTATGCTACCTACATCAAAAATGCTACTCTCCTCTTAAATTAATTCTGTTAATTATATCACCGACATAATATTAATGTTCCAATAACGGTCTTTTGGCTTACTTATAAATTTTGTACGGATAATATTTAAGTATTGTTTCTTTGAAATAATTATATTATATATTGTTTTTTACTTTTTAGTTATATCAGTGTCCATTTGATCGAATAATCGGTAGGATAATGTACATTATGACTTTATATTTATTTATAAGTTTTCCAGATTTCTAAATACTTAGGTAATACGTTAATACAATACAAATGCTTAATCACACATTATTCAAAACTAAGACACTAAGTTATTTAAAATGTATCCTAATGTGCATTATACTTTTAAGTCATAAAGGTAATAAAATCGTAAATAGCAAATTTTGTGAAGCCGTGTAGATAACATATAATGTACGATTACTCTTAAAAATATAGATCAAAATAATTAAAAAAATTAATTCAAAATCATTATAAGTAGAAGCCCCACGTATCAATGAAAATAAGTTAACAACAAAATTAATTAAAAAAATGAAAGAAAAAAACGTTTGTGTGAAGTTGACACTTGTTTTAAAACTGATACCATGACTTTAATCGAACGAAGAATAAATAACTCAATAATAACAGCTTTTTACACAGTTAACCATAATATACCATGTAAAATATATATTTATATATTGATATTTATATCAGGGAAAATTAACTATCTAATCAAATAAAGTTACCTGTTCTTGTCATATTATACCTAATATAATATAAGTATCGTTAAACGGCAAACTGTAAATATTAAATACGAAGGTTCTTAAAAGGTATTTATTTTTCAGTGTTATCTTCTCAAGGCATATGACATCACTTCGCTTTGGAGTTTCCGTCAAATCCTCGGCCTGAAAAAAGAAAATGTTAAGGTAAATATAACATTATTACAGGCCGAATGCCTGATGTATTCTTTGCTTTTTATTCAAGTACATAGGTACGTACATATTTTACCTTCTACGCGGAAGAATCAAAACTAAAAACCTATTTCGACGTTTGTGAATTATAACTCTGTTCAGTGAACAGTCTTATTTTTAATTAGAATGTTGCTTGGCTGCTCGGTGTTTAATGGAAGTACTATCTTTTTTTCTACTTCCCATTTGCCGTCGTGGGACTCCGCCGGGTAGAGACGGTCCAATTTAACAGCGTCTGCGTTTCTTCACACGTTACAAAGCACATCCAGTTAATTTAGCCTGTAAAATCGGTTAATTCGAAAACGGCCTTCCCCGTGCCACCGCGTGATCTGCAGCCAAAATTCTTGCGGTATATATGACTTGGACTTTGGGCCAAGCACGCACGGTCCCTTATAATCAAGAGACGAATGCAGGCAGCCAAGGAGATAATATCTATTATTATAATATTTTCGAGGTTGCCTCCAGTTTTTTTGGTCCATATTGGTACACGATTCACAAAGAACATGCAGTTTCACGTGTTTGATTCCCACGATCATTCCTAAACGACGTGGCATTGCCAGAAGTGTTTTGGGTAATTTGAATTTTTTCTGTTATTAAATTCGTATTTTAAACTACTGGCCCATTGCAATTGTATGAATTTGATGAATATTCCGTTATCACTACAACATTTTTTAACTCGTTTCATTTTTTTGATTGCCATTAATAATTCATCACCGTTGATGACATGTTTATTGTTACTAATAAATACCTATGGGAAACATTTATTTTAATCCGTATTGTATATCTTAACATCAGATTCTTACTAACTTCTAGTGAATCTAATTTTTGCAGAATGGTTCTGCTGTAATGTATAATGAATAATGATATAATATAATATATCTACCGATAACAATTTTAATACGAAGATAATAATATTAGGGTACAAATTGAACGAAGCGTAAATCCATAAATTTCGCCTTCCGTGTATATTAATATATATAATTATAATGTGTATATTATGATACTATAATATAATACACGCGTTTGATCATTATTATTTGATTAATGAAAACATATTCAATTTCTCCCCGTTTCAAATATAATCCGAATTTAAATACACGCACGATTATTTTTTAATTGATTTCAGTCTGTGTGAAATGTAGAGTAAATATATATTATGTTTTTACAATATGTTTAAGTTCGATTTTAATACTTCATATTATTTAATATTAATAATATATTATTGTATTTACTGCAATAGCACTATGATAGTTTAAGATATCAACAAATATAATATGCATAGTAAAGTAGTTGTGATTCGTGATCATGAATAAATAGAGTTAAAAATGCTAATAATTTCTAAGTACACCTACGTTCAATTTTTTAATCCAATTAATTTAGTAGGTATAATAAGAGGCGACCGACTACACTTACAGAGAAGTATGACTTTTAGAACAGTATAGAGACAATTTAAAATTAAATTAAGTACATAAATGTTAATGTTTTATTTAATAATTTCTCTATCAGTAATAAAATTAAAATCTGAGATTATAACCTTTTTAGGTTAATTTTTGCAAATTTTTAAAAAATGTAATTTCTACCTATTTGATTAGATCCAATGTGGTTTTTTATATAAAATGTTTTATTTAGGCACCTACATTTATTTTTATTAGTTATAATTAACAGCTATTTAAATACATTTCTATATATTGAGCTTCCACGCCGTAATAGATGTGTACACTGTCACAGATTTCAAAACGATTCGTATGTAAACATAGTCAATTATATGCCGCACATTTTGATAAATATTCAAAAACAAAATAATTCAAAACACTAAAATACGTCTGTGTTTACAATGTCTTAAAATTATCTGTCAAAAACCATTTTATGAATTTTTAAAAGTTTAATATATTTATAAAAGTTGTATCAAGGAGGAATCGAAAGAACACTAACATAATGAATTTTTCATAGTCTAAAAGGAAAACTCATGTCTCATATATTTACTTCCAACTGACACGCTGACACTATATTAATAATACACTATTTCATTCGAATAAGCTTAAATATACGAAGCTAAGATATTATTTACATTATGATATTATGCAATATTAAAAGTCGTTTACATTAAAAGTGATATTCGTCTGACATAAAGTACAGAAGGTATATCGATGGAAAAATAAAAATATTAATATATTGTTTCTATAAAATAGGGGAGTGTTATTCAAACGCGCTATCCTCCTTAAAGTATTCAAGGGGCAGTGAAACAAAATAAAAATATATTAATAGTAACTATTTTTGTAAAACGTTTATCTGACTGAAATTTTCGTCGTTTTGTTTATAATGTTTATTCGTATGTTCTATTATAATAATAAATATGGTATTTAAATCGGTATTGGTTTAAATCACTAAACGACTTTCGAAATACGTAATACATGTAAAAAAACCCATTGAATCTTTGCTATGTGTTTCCCGAGTTATAATTATTTTAACTGATTAATATTAATATAATATGCTTATGTTTATGTATACGATTTAGAGCATTTGGCGGATCAAAATGGCGCCTAAAATACCATATACAGATGAAAAGTCATCAGAAGGAATAAACAATAAAGCTGGCTGGTAAGTAATTGCACCCGGTAATTTAAAAAAAATAAATATTCACTTTAAAACAGAATGCAATGCGTGTGCGACGACTTCAAAGCTGCGCACAGTTCTTCTTTTGATGTACTCCGTCGTCGTCGTCGTCGTCGTCGTCGTCTGTCTGTCGCGCTCGATGAAACCGTCGGATGATGATGATGAAAAAAAATCCTTTAAGTTTTTTTTTTTGCCGTTCATATTATATACGTTTTTTTTTTTTTACCTACGACGAGAACAAATCGTCGTCCTCCGAGCACTATACAGACTGCGCAAGTATTATCGTCCGCTCTTGTTTTCCTCCTCGCTCTGCGCCCTCATCGCGTATCACGATCCGTTCCTCGACTTCATCATTTTATTCACCGTGAAAAATAATATAATATACAATATAATAATAATAATAGTATATTATTATGATATTATACCCGCTGCAGAAATTGCGCATAACACTTTTCTGTATTTCCGAATCGATTGACGACTGTACGGGATTTAACCCATTTCTATGTAATATATATATATGTGTACGCACATACGCGTTCTTACCGACCGTGCTTCCATTCGTTTTTTCACCTTTCAAACCCATCGAGAACCGAAATTTAATCGCTTTTTTTCTGCAAGAGCCTCCACGCAGCCAGCACGAATTCCCAGTAAAAATAATATCGCCATACTCCACGCACACTCTCTCTCACACACACACACACACACACACGCGCGCGCGCGCGCACATACTTAAATATATGTGTGTGCACGCCATACATTTTTATATTCCAAATAATATTTAAATCCCATTACGGCGTTAGGGTCGTAACGTTGCCGGTGGTGTTCGTCTTCGGGATTTTTCGATATTGGTTTATCGGTTCGGTTCTACCACGGTGCCGAAATATCTCCTCTCGCTTTCCATACACGACTATACCTCTGGCTACATATTATTTATACGTACGGCGTAATGCCCGTAACCATATAATATTATACGCATTTTCAGCCGACGACGCAATGCGGACACGAGCGAACAATAATTATTATTATTACATACCGTACGGGCGGGTGGCGCGTAATCGGATTTCCTCAATAAATTACAATATATGTACCTACACGGTTTTCGACCGTCACATTTTACATTATCAATAATAATATAATGAGTATTGAAGGTACCAGATACGCGCAAGAATACCATATAAAACGTACGCCAATATACGCCTCAAATGATGCGTTTAGCAGTGCACTCGACCTGACTAACCCTAGTCGTTCTCCTCGGCGTGGGATACGTAATGGTATTATGTGGTACGAATTGTACGCCTAACGAACCGTCGCGTTTAAAAAACGTTTCTGTACAAAGCTTCAATTGTAGAAATAATATCGATGATGCAAAAATTATGATATTAAAATCGTTGTCGAAATGTAACTTAAAACGCACTCGTAAAAAGAACTCAACAAGTCAGTATAAAATAATATTACAGAACGCTCTAATAAATAATCCTTTACGGCTCCCAAGCATTGTTGTTTTCAGAATAACCAAAATCGATTTTGTTGAAAACTGTTATCCGCCCCCAAATGATAGTTGTTATCCATTGCGCTCTGTGAAAATCGGATGAGATTTTCTGTGCAAAATATGTTGCAACTTTAAATTCAGCCTAATATATTGATAACACGCTCTGCTAAAAGAAAATATAATTTAGCTTCTAGCTCTACTGAGATATAAAAACAATTTTAAAATTGTATTTCGCAAGGCGATTTGGACACAATTCGGTGAGCTGGTACCTATTATTTATTTACTAAAAATCGTTTTACGTCATAGACTGTACACCGACGCCAATACAATTTACAACTGAGTTTTTTTTCTACAGAATTTTAGTGATTTTCGTATAATTCTTATTAAAAATAAAAAATGTCCAAGACTACTCGTCTACGCAAGTACTTGTCTTAGCACAGCACTGCAAAGTTTTCAGTCTATATAGAACTGTAGAAGGGACTATTTTAAGGGATATTGTACTGTGAATTTTCGATTTACTCGAAAACATAATACAATAGAAAAATCAAAAATCATATTCAAATGATTAATGAATAGATAACATTATGAATCCAAGATCAACAAATTTTATTGTTACCAAAGTTGCAATCAAAACACGTTTCGTTCGTGTGAGTTGATACTTTTTGTAAGTAGATTAGTTTTATTCCGTAGGCGATGGTTAAGCGTTACAAACATGAATCTTATGGTTTTATGAAGTAATTATTTAATACTTTTGACTAATTTTGGATTCAAACGAACAGTCTGCGCGAGCAATGAACACAATATTATAATATCATATTGCTCACTAAAACTGACCGCCCATAAAATATTATCGCATGATATGTGATGTTAATAAATTGACGAGCGCTTAAATTTCAGCTGTCAATTATGTCCGTAATACGCTCAAATGACACGCAGTCACTCGTCATATCAGATTCAAATTGTGTCGGTAATTATTATTCATCTAGTTTTTAGCTGGAAAATCAAATTTAATTATTTATCTCACTCGATTTTTCGACAGCGTTATACTATATTATTATTATTATTATTATGTTGTCACACTTTTAGCGAAATGGTTTTTTGGGGCTATTATATCGAGTGAAAATTGTCTAATATTGATGTTGGCTAATGGCTGATTGTTGATTGGATTTATTCGAGTGCATATAGTCTAGTCGCTCATTAGGAGAAACGACTCGGACGTATGGATAAACCAGTATACAGAGGTGACTCGTTAGCTATGTATTATGCGTATTAATATAATAGAAAGATAGGTACCTACAATTTATTATGTAACTTAAAAAGCTTTGTGAATTTAAACACTTTTTAACTTTGCCGCTTCGTAAAACACTTTGTATATGTGTGCAGGTGTGCAACATAGAGTTAAACTATACATCGGAAAATAAACTCACCTGTAATTGTTGGTACTTATTTGAAAGTTACATAAGTATTCATAAACTTTTTTTTTCCTAATAATTTTTGTTAGGTATTTTTAATTTCTAGTGTTTTTATTTGGTTTTTTTCCCGTTAGGTGGTGTTTAATACATTATTTTGGATTTTAAGCGACGCATTTACATTTTGGGTTAAAATAAAAAAATAGAGCAACGTTTGTAAGTATTTTTGTGCACCTACTACATAGGTAGTTTAGTAGTCGAGAAGATAATAAATACTTTACATAATTAAATGTCATCGACACCTACTAATGTGCAGTGTTTATCTCGGTGAATGTTTAATATTCATTATGGTACCTATTTTAACACTAAATCTATAGTATAAAGGGATTGTTTAAATAATAATTTTCCTGAATTTGTTTCTATTTACTCGGGCATTTCTATTCAGCCGGTTTTACGCATACGTTATTACGGTAATAATTAATACTTCACCATTAATCGTTTCCGCATACATTCTCATCGTGTCAACGATAATAATATGTGAGCGAAACTGTAGTTTTTCCGGTCGATTGGTATTTGGCGTAGGTATTATAATTACCTACCTACAACCTTACACGTCCTTATTGTAAGTACACGCGTGTAACATTACAACGTGCAATATTATTGTATTCAAATATTATATTAATTTTAAGTTATTAATTTTCAATATAATATGCATTTACGGCATTGACAACTAGTATAGGCTTATAATAGCCAACATTTTTAAGGAATTTTTTTCAGAACAGAATGGTAATATACCTTGTGATTCATTTAACGGAGGAAACTCATTATTTAAAAAGTATTAATTTTTCTGAAAAAAATGTTTTCAGTGGTTTCAAGCCATTACTATTTATTCTTATAATTTTTTAAATATTTTACTTTTTTGGATAAAAATATATAATTTTAATTTCATCTTCAAATGCAGAATATTTTTCAAATTCAGGATGAATAGTTTATAAGTATTAAGACTTTAGAGTACAGATAAGCGGAGTATTTGACTATCATTTTGCGGAATAATCGCGTACAACTCCACTTCGCTCATCTAAACTTTAAATACTTATAACTTATAAGCTACTTGTCCTAAATTCGATTTCATGAATCGAAATACTTAGAAAAATATTCTGCTTTGGAATATGAAATTAAAACTGTATGTTGTCGACGAAAAAAGTAAAAATTTAAAAAGTTAATGTCAAAAAATATTGTTTTTTAATATTAAAAACTAGACAGAAAATTGTACTTCAAAAACATTGTATAAGTTTTGGAATAAAGAGTGTTCAATAATATAATAATCAGCCGGTATATATTTGCAATGTTTGATTTGCTTGTGTTTACAAATTACAATATTCAAGTTTGTTAAGTAAATTAAATTATTAGAAATAAAGGTGATCATTTTTATAGCTTCGTCTTTGCTGAGGGCTTATTTTATATTATGCGAGAGATTACGAGTGCTTGTGGTGATTTTTATCTTTTTAATTCTTTGAAGATATATTTCACAATTAAGCTATATTTTTATTTGTGTCGCAAGGCCCGAAAACATGTTTCGCTCAAAAAACCCGTCACAATAATATTGATATATTATAGTAAGTACCCCCGCGATAGCTTATTCATATTATTGAATGGTAGACAAAAAAAAAAGTTGTCATTATTATATATTGGTGTCCACAAACGCGAACTGTTGAAGAGTAGTTATACTTGTCCTTTTCAGGACTCTGTAAAAATCGCTAGACTAGTTTGGCCATTTTTACCTACTTGATTAGGAACGTTTTTGGCAACATAAAATGTTCACCTACTATTGTACGTAGTGCATTATTAAACGCTTATTTATACCTGCTGTTATAATATTATTATTATGATTGTTGTTTTCAAACTCACTTAAACCCGATTCAACGGCGGTGCTTCCGTTGTTGTTGTTGTTATTGTTGTTGTCGTTGTTGTTGGTGTCGTTTTGTTTTTATTTTGTGTTTTATGGAGTTGACAACTAAATGCAGCACCGAAAATAAACAAATACTGTTCTCATAAAAACGGCTAACCAGTGCAAGAGTTATA